CTGGTGACACGTGTTAAAATAATGGAATATATTTAGTAGAATTTATGTACAAAAAATATAAATACTTTTTTTTATATTATAAATTTGCATTCTGAAGAAAATTGAATATTTTATAAAAATATATAAATATTTTAAAACTTTACGCAACCTTCTTAAAATGTAATCGCGATCCCTTTTGAGTTACGACCTAACATTTGAAAACCTCTGCTTTAGAAGATAAAATAAACATTGATAGTGCAATCAAATAAAAATTTAAAGTCAAGCAAGAATAAATATAATTTTTTGTAAATTCTAAAATTTTTTTTTTTTTTTTCATTTTTTATTTCCAGATCTGAACGGATTTCAAAATCCGTTGCAAACAAAAAGACGTTGGCCGAGTCACGGTCCATAAACATCATGGGCGGATAGGCTTTCCGGGAAACCGGGCATTTCCCGGTGGGCCCCTTTCGTATTTTCAAAATGGGGCCCTTTAATATTCTACAATTGCAATAAACATTTGAAATATAGAATAAATAATAATATAATATAATCTTTTATTTCTTCTGTGGTCTTTTACAAAAGATTTCTTATCAGCCCGCAGCCGCCGCGCTGCCTAAACTACAACGTCGATTACTTTTTGGTGGCGGGTAGTGGTCTCGGTTGTGGCTGGTAAGGTGCGGGTAATAACTCAAATATGTTGTTGTAGATACTATTTTTGGAATAATTTAATCTAAACATTGGAAATTTTCAATGCTATCGTGTATCTGTGTACAGTACTGTAGTATTTAATATTTTACTAGTATTTTATCAAAACAATTATAGAAATTATATAGAAATATATTATTATTTATTATAATATACTTATTGCAGTATCGCAGTCATTACGTTACTCATGTCTCACAAAGTCATAAGTCATTAGTCTTGATAGTTTCAGACGTTTCACTCGTTTCGGTGATACATATTATTCCTCAAAAAAAAATTACATATTGCATAGTACCTAACTTCAGATACAACAGGCGTTTACCTCTGTTTTATTTTTTTTCAATGGACAGTATAAAAAAAACACATAAAAGCGGAAATGCTAATAGAAAAAAAAAGGAGAAAGATTTGTTAAAAAAAGAAGCTCAAGACCCTAAGCAAAAAAAAATAAATTTTGTAAAATCAAGTAAATTCACACATAGGTATAACTGGGTACCACACTGGCACACTTTACCTAATACCATTGATTATAGAATAGACTATTCTATAATCAATGCTAATACCTATGCATTTTTTATATTTTAATTATTTTATAATTAATACATTTATCATAATTTATCATAATATAATATAGGTAAGTGCTTATTGATTATCATAATAATATAATATTATGTAGGAATATTAACTAAAATTACACTATATTTTATAGATACCAGTTTTAAATTTAATAGCAATTAGGAGTATAAAATAAGTAGGGTTTGTTAAATAAATTTACTTAATATTTTTAGAACACAAATTATTTTCTTAATATGTCTATTATATTTATAATTTTCAACATTATTTGAAGTAAATGTTGCCGCCGAAGCTGATCTTACGAAAAAAATGCGGTTATCGGCAACGACTCGCGACTTATGATGAGGTCGGAAGCGGAAGGGGGGGGGGGTAATTTAAGTAGTTTTACAATTTTAATTAAATTACAAATTATAGGCTATCAAACAACATATAATAATATAATAATATAAAAATAACAATGCGGGCGCCCTAGTATCTACAGTAGATATATATATATATATGTATAATAATAATTAAGAGTAGTTTTAAGAAAAAAGCCACAACACCAACGGAATCACAAAATATATGTATATAAAAATACTTGGTGGCTACTGTACACGGAAGTATAATATAATAAGATTATAGATATGACCTGGTGGCAACAGCAAACTGGATCCACCGGAACAACGTTCAATTCACACCTCGTGAACCACACGGGGTTTGAGTAAAATTATAATGTGATGAATTGGTGAGCAAACGCCACGATGCGTTCGACTCGACTGTTGGAAAAAGACAAAAGTAATAAAGTTAGGCGGCTGATCGCTTGACCACCGGACGACGAATTGTCGTCGGATGGCGAGTGGGAGCTTGCCGGGAGCTTGTATATTTGTCGCGTTTGTGGTGTCCCGCGCAAGCTCAATGGCGGCAAAAAGTGTTCCGCGTTCAAACAGTAAACTTAAATACTAACTTGTTTAATTAGATGCACTTAATTGATAGATTAATGTTGTTATAATATATTTATATTATATATCATGCATTTTTTAGATGTTAATATTGCCATAACAGACAAGTTATCAAGTCATACTATACTAGAAAGTGAGTTTATGCATTTTAATATTAATTATATTGTATTGTATTTTAAAATATTGTTAGGAGTAAGTAAAATTAAAAAACAAAATTATAATAATATAAAATATTAGGTATATTATGATTACATTTTAACTTAATAATTTTATAAATATATTTTCCAATTCTCATCTTTAGGTGACAATAATTTGAAAAAATATAACAGTAGTGTTATTGAAAATGAAAATGAAAGAGAAAATCTTAATAATGATGATAATGGTAATTTCTAGTTAACTTTTCTATACTTTTTACCTAAACTATTTAAAAAATTAAAACTTTACTTTTTAGATGTTAATGCTTCAAAACAAGACAATGAAAACATTCCAGTTAATATAATTGAAGGTGTTGATAATGATGTGGAAAATGTTGATACCATACCAATAGATGAAACCTGTTCAAATATAGATAATGGTATCTAGTACCTAGATAATATATACCTAAATTTAAATATTATAATTTTAAATAATTATAATTTTTATTATAGAGGCTACTGATATGTTTATGAAATCTAGAAGTACTAGTACCGGTGAAACTCGCTGTAAGTGAATACCCTAGGTCGATGAAACTCACTGTAAGCGAATGCCCTAGGTTGGTAAAACTCGCTGTATGTGAATACCCTAGGTAGCTGAAAATCGTTTGAAGTGAATTTCCTAGGTCAGAGACAGGACTTTACCGCAGTCAGAAAAGTCTAGTAGGCGAAACCAGTGATAACGATGTTTGAGACGTTGGTACCTCTGATTTGGTGGTTTTACACTTTGGCGGTGTCGTTTTAAACGCGTAAATAATAATCTTATAATATAATAAAAGTATATAAAAGTCCAATTCGAACGTTTAGTGGTGGGTTATTTCATTAAATTTACAGGTGTAATACACCTTGTCCCGTAGCTTGCCCTGTGCTTTTGTGCATGGAAAATAAATTAATACATTCCGAAAAGGTAATTAAGTGTCTAGTTATCAGTCATCGTCCAGTGAATATCGATTCCTGACAGGGCAATCCGCCTGCGGCGGATTGTCATACCCCCTAACGTCGAAGGCGTTGTGCTGTTTAGTACGCAAAAAAGTTTAAGTCGAATCGAGCGCTCGATTTCTCAAGCGATCACCATTAAAAATCCAGTTAAACGCGTTTAAACCTCCCAGGTAGGCGATTCGACTGCGTCGGATCGCGGACGATGTGAACGCAAAGGGAAGATTTTAAACGTATTAATGAAAATACATGTCAAACGTTAGCGAGTCGTGGTAAATGGTGAGTCAAAGATCAAAAAACTATATATATTTAATCAGTTTTTTGATAAACAGAAATTACAATTAATTAACACAAAATTTAAAAATTAAAAAAAAAAAAAATGCAAAATATCCGAATACGTGGTCAGTTATCGTACAGCTCGGATTTTGCCGGAACGGGTTTCGAACCTGCCTACCTAACGTTGGAGAACCTCGTCTCGTAGCTTTTTACGAAAACGGAAAATGAGTGTCTAGGTATCAGTCATCGCCCGGTACGGTGAAAGTCGATACCTGACAGGGCAATCCGATTTCGGCGGATTGGATGAATTTCCCGTGGCTCGTCCGATGCTTTTGAGTATGGAAAATAAATAAATACACTCCGAAACGGTTATCAAGTGTCTAGTTATCAGTCATCGTCCAGTGAATATCGATTCCTGACCTAACCAGGCGGATTGCCATACCTCCTGACGACGACGGTGTTGTGCTGTTTAGTACGCAAAAAAGTTTAAGTAGAATCGAGCGCTCGATTTCTTAAGCGATCACCATTGAAAATCCATTTAAACGCGTTTGAACCTCCCAGATAGGCGATGTGAGCGTAAAGGAGAGATGTTAAACGTATTATGGAAAATGCATGTCAAATGTTGGCATAATTTTTTTTTAGTGAGCTTAGTAAATTTTTTAATCAATTACTTATATCGTATTGCTTAGCGTTTTACATTATTTTTATATCTGAATAAGTACCATTTATCCATTTTAAAAAAGTTCACACACCAATTTTATTTATTTAATAAATTAATTTTTTTTTTCATGTAAGATTGTAAGAAGCCTGTTATTAAAATATTATTTTATGTTTATATTTCTGAAATATTAATATTTATGTACGAAGGACAATAAATAATAATTAATTTAAAAAAGATATATTTTAATAATTAGTCTAGTTCTAGTACTTATTATTACTATTCATTAAATTGTAAACAGATTATACGATATTAATGAATTCACATAAAGTAAGTATACTTTAGTTACTTATGTATAGAAAAAACTAAAAAGAGCGTTTCTCATAAAAAAAAATTTGTATCACTGTTTTTGAATTCAATAAAAAAAATCTATATGTTTACATTATAAAAATTTCAAACATTTAAATTTAAATAAATAACTAAAGGGAAAATTGTGGGCGAGCATGCTGACCTCTATTTATAACTAATATTTGTGTATATAAAAATAGTTTCGTCATAAACTTTTATTTGACAAAGAATAGTTTAATACATGATTCATTATAGTAAAATAAATATTAATTATCCTTTACTTTATTAGTTGAAAAAAGCTTTATCAAAAGCAGAAAAAAAAATAAAAGAATATGAAAAATTGACATCATTACAATTTTTGAGTAAGTAATTTATTTAAGTTAATTTTTGTAAATAATAGGATCAAAACTAAATATTTTAATTTATAGTTAAAATATTATTATTTAATTATTGTATTTTAACTTTGATTTCATAATAATTATTATAGTTTAATATTGAATGAAAAACCGTTCAAGTGATGTCTTATAGAAAAAAAAAAATACACAGTGGTGTATTGATAAATAAATTTATGGGTATACGCACTTAAAATAATAATAATACAATAGTATAATAGTATTTGATAAGCTTTATCTTTTATTATAAAAACTCGCTCTTCTCTTCAAATACATGTATCAATATATAAAAAACTTATGACTAGTACACCTTTGAAATTTAATTTCGGTAATTTATTTTTCATAGTTTATAAATTTATTTACTTTATCCAAAAAATATTTAAACAATTGTGAATTTTTTTTTATGTTAAATCAA